AGGGTAGGAGACACCAAAACTGACAAAACCGGACGGGGTGTCAGGTCATGCCAAGAGAAACACCACAAGCACACAGGGTAACAATGAAACTCAGTTATAGCTTTATTTAATAACTGGTACAAAGTCCCCCTCAGGCAGAGCCTCCCAGTCCCATTCCCTACCTGAAATGGAGCAGAACATGAGCGTGACCCTCGGAGGAGCTGGCTCCCAGTGAGTCAGGACTGCTCAACAGTTAAGAAAGGATGTTTTGCTCATCTATCAAGACCTGTAGTAGCCTGACCACTCATCCCTTTTCTCCCATTAACAGCTAGACCCTGGCACGCAGCAGGCATTTGCCCCCCGCCCTCTGTGACCCAGCCAGCTGTAAAAAGGCAGCAGAACTGTGAATTCCACGAAGACAGTAAATAGTACCTGCACAGAGGAATTCACTGCTCACACTTCTGACCCAACTCACACGAACCGCGTATCAGCTGGCAGTCATTTACATTCACTGGTATTTCCTGAGCCTCGGTTAATACCCTGTGCAGACACCCTGCCTGGGGCTGGCAGCAGCGGGAAGCAGAGCTGGCAGTGCAGGAGATTTCTGGATCTCCACCTGGCAAGGAGCACTGCTGCCCATTTCACAACCAACTTGATGTTAAAGATTCACCCGTGCCAGGGTAGAATAGTGACAAGGTGTTAACCGCATCCAGCCCTTCTGCAGGAGAGGCAGAGGGTCAGCAGAGGTGGTCTGGAAGCCAGGGCTGCTGTAGTTTAATCCCTCGTACTCGGTTAATAGTGCATCTCGGTTAGTGTAAGTTTACTTGTTAATTGCTTTGCCCTTTCAGGAGGCTCAGGTAAGAAATCACTCTGCTCCTTCTTAACACAAATACAGAGATGAGACCAAGACAGTATTTCTGACCATTTGTTTTCCCCATGGCTGCCTGGCACACCAAGAGTCCTGGGAACACAAAGACCTTCTGGTGGGTTCTGCACTCCAGGCACAGCTCTGCCAAAGAGCATCACCTGCTCCAGCGCCTGGAGTTTCACATCATCATGGTCTTGCTTTCCCATGTCCCACAGATGCCATACCAACTGCACCACAAGGGTCCTTTAGCAGAAGCACAACTAGAAAGCAATTCTAAACCTCACAAAGCCACAGAAATTATATTTAAATGAACAGGGAAGACAACGGCTGTCATCTGGATTGATATACAGCACAGACAGGAGATGGTATCAGCATGTACAGTAACGTGACTTACTAAGACCGCGGAATGTTAATGAGTTTTAAAGAGGCTCCGATGCCAAGGGCATACAGAAAGGACCAAAGTAATGCCAAGTACAAACTACCAAGGAGGTGGCAGCTCAGATGGGCATGCACAAGTTAGAGAGAACAGTTAATGCCATTTTGGATGAAATGCTAGATTCTGCGTGGGTTCAGTGGGGGCAAGTGGAGTTGTCTGAATCCAGAAGAGGGGTTCCTGCCTAACAGGATACTTCCATGGTTTGAGGTGCATCCTGGAGGTCAATTCCTTCTGGGGTTCCAGCACTTCCTTCACCATGGTTGCTGGTATGAGACCGGCTGCGGACACTCTCCCCAGAGCCCACGCTAGAGGAGGAGTGAGTACGGGAGCGCATCAGCCTGGTCATACTAGCTGCTGGCACTGCAAGAAAGAACAGGCGTGGGACTTAGCAAAGGAGGAAGTTCCTAGAGCAAGTATCACAGTCACTCAGCTATGTGTCACTGGGTAAGCACAAAAAGAGCTATACCCTCAGGAAGAAAACTCACTCTTCACTGCCAAAATTAAGTCTTTGCACGTCTAAAGCAAGGTGTTTAAGGCCCAATTTCAAAAGGTCCAAGGTGAGCGAATGCCAGAAGTGTAACTGATCATTTGCAAGTGCAGTCATGGTGAGTGTCTGTGCGAACCAAGGCAGCTGTTGTACAAATGACCTTTTGAAAGTCAGTCTCGTCACTCTAGAAAACCACAGAGCTGAAGTCATGCAACAATCAACAAAATACAAATGAAAGGTGAAAAACCATAGCATACACGTTGTACAATGGTCAGCCTAGCTCGCAGCAGGCCAGCAGGACATGCCGAGACAGAGCAATGCACCCGAAGAATCATTCAACTCAGTACACAGACTTCTGCCGA